TCATTTACAATTTTTTTTTTTTTAACCTTTGGACTCTATACTGTGTTCAAACATACTTGAATTACTTCTTCTGTTTGGTACTTTTGGCATTTTGAGTATACAGATAGGCTTATTTTTGTTTGTTTTCAATTTTAAAATTCTCTTTTTAAATCATTTTGTTTACTCCTACTTTTTCTTTTACTATGTAAAGCATTTGGCTCAGAACTATATTCACAGGTATATTCATCCTTATGCCTTTCACACTGTTCCCACCTCCTACTCCCTTTATAAATGTAACCATTTTGATTATTTTCTGGTTTACTTTCTTTTTGAAAAAAATTCTTTTTCCAGAAATGATAAGTTACTATATATAATTTTTATACCTTGCCTTTTTATCCCCAAGTAGTTTATTTTAGAAATCCTTTCATATCAGCTCATAGAACTCTTTTCTCCCCCCACGGGTGTATAGAACTCCTTTGTGTGGATTTACCATAATTTAGTGAACCTGTTTTCTGTGTATGTGTATTTGACTTGTTTCTGATTTTGCTATTTCAGGTAATGCTAGTATAAAGAATCTTGTGCACATGATGTTTGAATTTTGGAATTGTATTTTTTTGGATAATTTCTAAAAGTGGGATGGTTGGGTCAGAGAGTAAAATGTATATGTCATTACAATAGCCACATTCCTCTTCTTAGGGGTTGTCTGTTTTGCATACCCATCAGCAATGTTGCAAATGCCTGCTTATGAGAATTCCTTCATTAATATCAAATATTGTAAACTTATACAAATGAGTTGGGGTTGTTTTTTTTTGTTTTTGTTTTTTTTGGCAAGTGATGTATTATCAGGGTGCCATCAGGGAACACAGCTGACACACTCAAAGTAGAATAATTTAAGAAAAGTTTATTTACAGAAACTAAAAGGAGTGTGCAGGTTATTGGAGAATCACCAGGGATAGCACAAGACCCAGTATCAGTGAATCTGTTTTCATTCATAAGCTTGAAGGGACCAGGGAAAGAAAGGAGGAGTTACAGGAACCTAGAAGAGCAATTACTGCCTAGCAGACTGCCTTTGGTCCAAAGACATAGCCAGACTTAGAAGATACCATAGGTAAGGAACCAGGAAAATACCTAACTCCTCCTTCCTTTGACTTCCTGCTGGAGTTCAACTAAAGGGTACAGGAGTGCTGTGATAGGTCAGTTTTCCAAGCCCAGAGAGTAGTAGGGAGAAGGGTGGAGAGTGAATCTGAAGAGACAAGCAGAAGTTAACCCAGTGCACATAGGCACATACAGATTCGTGGACCTTTGAAATAACTTTAAACCAGAGGATTGCAGATTAAAGGATTTAAGATTTAAAAACTTTTTTTTTTCCTAGTAAGTCTACTAAGTGCCAGCAGTGTGTGGCTTATCTGTATTGTATATGAGTGCTACTTTCCACTCTGAGATTACTCTTAAAAACTATCAGCTCTTATTCTCAGTTTTAGCATTTCTCATAGTGCTTCTCAATGCACTTGTAAAATACAAGACTAAATAGTTTCTATTCTCAGATTTCTCTCTAAATAACTTCATAGCTCTCTTTTCCCCTTATGAGACTAATAGCTAGAGTAATATTAGATACTTCAACTCCATCCTATTGCCATTATCTATAGAGAAGAAAAGTGTTAACTTCTTTCTTCTGATCACTTTCATCTGTTAATTTTATTATTTTATGAGACAGTTTCATTACAAACATTGTATTGGGAGTTGGGCATTGTCTGTGTCATAAAAAAAAGGCTTTATTGCCCCAATTACTTCTGAATGGGAGTTAATAACAAGCCTTCTCAGTGAATCAGAAGCATTATATAGTTACAGCATCTTTGTATTTTTGAGTATTTTTTTTTAACCAAGTGGATTCTACTGCATAATCCAAATTTTAAATTTTGGTAGACTGTTAAGTGATTTATCCTCGAAATTCACTTTCTACCTGTATTAGCAACAGCTTCTTGGTAAGTGCCATATGTTTCCTCTTGTTTAATAATGTCTCCTCTCTAATACCAGTAAAGCCCATTTTTATTTTAGTTTTCAAATGTGATCTCCATTCCACTACTTTTTCAGGATTTATTATCATAGATTACATCTTCAGAGATAAGCTATAGGACTTATCCCACTTTTCCCTGATTTAATGTTGGAGCAAAGTAGATAAAATTAAGTTTATTTTATTTCATTATTTTTCTTAAGAGTGTTTAAGACTTTCAATTTTGAAGTATTATTTTTAAAAAGCACTTTTTTGAGCTCTAAAAATTAATTTTTAAAGTGTACCAGTTATAACTGAACCAAATTCCTTATTTCTCCTGATGAGAGGAGTTATTTTTCATATTACCTGAATGATTTAATGAGAAGACTTTTTAAAATGTTACTGGCAATTTCTTTTGTCCGTGAATATGACATTAACATGTCTCTTCAGGGCATCCCGGGTAGCTCAGCAGTTTAGCGCTGCCTTCAGCCCATGGCGTGATCCTGGAGACTGAGATCGAGTCCCATGTCAGGCTCCCTGTATGGAACCTGCTTCTCCCTCTGCCTGTGTCTCTGCCTCTCTCTCTCTCTCTCAATCTGTGTCTCTCATGAATAAATAAATAAAACCTTTAAAAAAAGTCTCTTCATTAACCAAAAATCTCAGCAGTCTTCTCATCATTTTGAACATTATAACCATTCTATAATAATGAAGATACAGAAGGTATAGGAGATTGGGTTCAAAATTCCTCAGATAAGTCTTCTATTTACTGTCTTCTTTAGTAGGTCCTGCGGATTAAAGATGATGAGCACAGTAACTGCCCAAAGACATATAAACAAATGTAGAATAATAAGAGATAAAGATACAAACAATATAGTGTGGTAATAAGCATTATAATCAGTGTTTGCCTAAGGAAAGTGAGTGACATAAAGCATAAATAATATTTCTTGGGAGGGTGCCAAGAAAGACTTGTTAGAGAAGGAGACAGTAAATATTTAATAGGTGAATGAACACTAATAAGTAATATAACACTAATAAAAGACATAGTTCTATGCTGTAGGCCGTAAAATTCTATTATTTAAAGATTACTTAGCAAGAAACTTAAGTACTTTGAAAAACAACTAATGTTATGAGGTTATAGAGCATATATGGATTGCCAAGTGAATGATACAGTAACTAGAATTTATTGAAATACTCTGCAACACAGATTACTTGTCACATGTAATCCTCACTCTCTTAGATAGGTATTGATATTAAGTCCATTTTACAGATAAAGACACTGAAATTCACGGAGGTATAATAACCTCCTGAAGGTCTCACAACTAAAATATGATAGATCCAGGTTACAAATTGAGACAGAACAACTTTAGAAACAGTGCTCTCAGTGCTATATATTTTTAAAAATTGACCTTAAGATCATGGGATCCCAGAAGAGAAGAAAATCTTATCTGTTATTGAGAGCATTTGGAGAAGAGTTGCAAATTAGATAGGTGATGGATGTCATGAAGAATATTCCAGGCATGAGTGTGGGCATAAATAAGTGTTCACTGGCCAAGTTTACTTGAAGAACAGACAAGTATGATTGAGTAGTCAGGTCATATAAGAGTATCAAGGAAGATAAGGTTGGAAACTGAGGATGGGATGGGAGCCACCTGTCATGGATCCTGAAAATGAGTCTAAGTACTCTGTACTTCATCCAACAGAGAGCCATCAAGGTTATGGGAGCAGGGGAGTAATATAGAAATAAGTGTAACATAATGATTAATTTCTTGACCTCCATCATTTTCCAACTTTGTGATGTTGAGTACATAAGTTTACTATTCTCAGGCTCCTTTTTCTTATCTATAAAATGAGGATGGTAATATTATCTGCAGAGGTTAATTTGTAAAGCCTAACATATATCAAGTATTGAGCAAATGTTACATATTATTATTTATTTGTTTCAGTAAATTTGATCTGAGAACAGTAGTGCATAGTTGCCTAGACCTACACCTTAGGCCATTAGTTGAAAAATTCTTTTTTTCTTTTTTTTAAATTCTTGAAACATAGTTGTAACAGGTAAATAGGAAGGGACAGATTACTAGGAATATTTTTAGATGAATAATATTAATTTTTATGTAGCTTTAATATCTTTATAGGGTTCCTTATGTTGTTTCATAGTATTCATGTGTTCATTGTATCAAAAGTCAATAGCTGACAGTTGAATATAACTTTACAATTTACACAGCACTTTGACATGTTACTGAATTTGATTCCCAGAATCAATCTGTAAGATATTATTTCCAGGCCCAGTGAGGTTAAGTAAGTCAAATAAGTTAATGAAAGTATCAATTTAATACTTGAATTTCCATATACTAGTGCTTATCTCTTTTATTCTGGTGCTTTCTCTTTTATGTCATGTTATGGCAAGAACTGATACAGTGTAGCTGGCAACAATATGAGAAACTATTATTCGTACTTTGAAGGAGTTTATATCTTTTCTTAGGTATCTATATTAATAGTAAAAAAAAATCAAAACATGAATAAAATCAGGATATACTAGTTATCTAATTTATTTATAAACCCAGTGATATTATCTGAATACAATCTCTGTTCAGTAGATTGAAATGTTAAGTGGTTATAATTTGCCATTTAAAATATTGCTAGGAGGGATCCCTGGGTGGCACAGCGGTTTGGCGCCTGCCTTTGGCCCAGTGCCCGATTCTGGAGACCCGGGATCGAATCCCACATCAGGCTCCCGGTGTGCATGGAGCCTGCTTCTCCCTCTGCCTGTGTCTCTGCCTCTCTCTCTCTCTCTCTCTCTCTCTCTCTCTCTGTGACTATCATAAATATATAAATAAAAAATTTAAAAAATAAATAAAAAAATAAAATAAAATATTGCTAGGACAAATGAAAATAAGCTCCTGCTTTTCTGCACCAAACTGTATTAGGCATTTAGTACATTCTGGGTGATTGTAACTATTTTACATTAGAGCTATTTCTTAAGTGTCTTTAAATAGTATTGATTATGAAACTTTTTGAAATTTACCATCAGGCCGATGGTGGCAGAGTCTGCATAGAACTATGCTTCGTGGTGTTCTGGGAAAAACCTTTCGACTTGTTGGCTATACTATTCAGTATGGCTGTATAGCTCATTGTGCTTTTGAATACGTTGGTGGTGTTGTCATGGTAAGTTTTTACATAAAAGAAAACAATTTTAAATATGTGCTTTTTTAATTGAAGGAAAATGTTTTTCCTTTATTTTAATTGAATTCATTTAATGAATAAAATGTGACTGTTATAATTTTTCTAAATTTTGGGATGTAAGAGACTGTGTTGGAATTAGCACTTGTAAAAAATTAAGAACCAATAACTCAAATATGGTTTTGTATTCTGTTTCTGACAGGGGTCCTATTAATAATCTGACAATAATAGTTTTTATCATTTACTGAATTCTACTTACGGTGTTCCAGTGATGTTTGATGTTTTATATTTATTAACTCATTTAACCTTTTCTACTCCATGAAATACTTAATAGAAATCCATTGTACATGTGAGGAAACTGTGGCTCAGAAAGCTTCAGTAACCTGCTCCAGGTTCCACAGTTAGTAAGTAGATTTGGAATTTCAACACAGATTCTCCGGTTTTCAAAACTCCTGCTTTTAACCAGTTGTGTTTAACTATAATTAAAATAAATGTTCTGCTTGGTGTCAATATTAAAATGTTAAGGCTGCCCCCCCCCCGACCAATACTTTTTCTTAATGTTGCATCATAAATCTGTCAACTGTGACTACTTATCTTTTGTCATGCAAATGAAAGAATAAATCCAGTGTCCAGTGAGTGAGTTTTGTTGGTGGTATTGCTATTTTTATCAGGTTTACCGTAAGGGATTCAAAGTCATACAACCTCAGGTTTAGCTGGAGAAATGCAAATATATTTAAGTGAAGGTCTCCTCTTTGTTTTTTAGATTTACACTGGTACTTCCAGTGAGTGGGCTACAGAGGTAGCAAACATAAATTTTCATGTGTTCTTTGTCATTTCTGCCTCAGTTGGAGGTTTTGAGTAAAACGTTTTATCAACACCTAAGTGAAATCAGTGGAGACTGCTGTATTTTAAGTGGCAGAGATCATTTATTACAGTTTGCGGTATATATGCAGATGGTTGTTTTAACACATATTAATAGAAAGTCTTTAAAGTGCATCTCATTATGCCACTTATTTTCAATAGAAAAAATAAGCTGCAGCCCATCAAATGAGTAAGCTATTCTCTTGGAAGAGAACTCTAGGCATGAACTTATTGAGAATGGTATGATATTACTTAATAAATTACCATCATGGGCACTTGATATTTATAATAGCAAGAAGATAAGTAAATCATTTATTTATTCATATATTTACTGAGTATCAGCTTTATGCCAAGCACTATATTTGGCATTGGTTATATATCTGGGAACATGAGTGATAAGGTCCCTAACCTCATGGAGCTTACATTATACAGGATGGTCAAAATTTAGAAACATAGATATTTATTCATGTATTGTAATGTATTCTCAGTAAACCATTTTTAATATTTTTGCCTGTGTTTCCAGACTTGGTGGCTACTGTAGAGTTGAACTTATGTAGAAGCTGCCAAAGTAGAAATCATCCTCCAAGCTTGAAGAACATTTGTTTGATTTTCTTTCTTAGAAGCTTGCGCAGATGATTTGTTATATTTAAAAAGTGTTTCTATTCAAATTTAAAAATTACCTCTCTTTTCAGTGTTCTGGACCATCAATGGAGCCTACAATTCAAAATTCAGATATTGTCTTTGCAGAAAATCTTAGTCGACATTTTTATGGTATCCAAAGGTAAATTTCTGTCATAAATGTTAAAGTTATAGTGAAAACATTGTGCCTTTCCTGCAGTAAATAAAAACTTTAAAAACCCTTTGTAAATAACCAAATTAATGACCAGCTGGTTAAAATTTTGATTCAAGTATTTTTCTCTCAGTTCGAGAAATTTTAATGGTTTCTGTAAACATGAACAGCCTTTTCACTCATTATGTCCCTTGCATTATTGGCTAAAATAGAGTAGCAGACCCTTTTATAATGTACATTCAAGCCTACTTTATTTTTTGTTGGGGCTGGCTCTACAGTGTTTTGAGTAAAGAATCTAGAGACTTTGGAACTATATCACATACCAAATCAGTGATTGGTTTTTAATTTTTTAAAATAACACTGAATTTCTGTTGATGACCATTTTATTCTCCACAGCTTATGATAAGCACTTGATGATTTTTAGACTATAGCACCATCTATAGCTGGGAGCCAGGGAGCTTATCTATTCTGAGTTCCTGATTAATTAAGTTGAAAAACTGACAAATACTGTTTGCCACTAAATTTTTTAAAATCCTATTTTAAATGGTGTTTCCAGTCCCTGTGATACTGTTTATTCTGCTTAACTATATATTATTCCTTCTGAATGAATGTCAAGTATTAGGAATTTAATGTATTTTCTAAAGGGCACCTCTCTGATTCCCTAAAATTTTGGGGTTCATTAATTTTTCATAATTTTGAAAAAAAAAAACAATACCACCCCTTCATTTCCATAAACTCCAAATTTGAATCATTTGAATTGGTATTTAGCTTATGGCAGGAGTAGGTTTAAGCACTCCTCTTTCATTATTTGCCTTTTCTATATAGTCCGTTTCGCATTACTGAAAAATCATCAAGAATAGTGTAAAACTGTTCTTGCATCTTAGATTTTGTAGATAGAAGTTATCTCTTGGTAAGGCTATATAGTCTAGCATCATCCCTAGGTAAAATTCTCCTTCAGATCTTTTCCTCTTAACAACTTCAAGATACCTAATTGATAGTTATTTGGTTATAAACTAACACATACATAACAGGTTGTGTTCTTTCTTTTTAACTTATATCCAAACTACTACATACAGTCTTTGGATTAACCGGAGACCAAGCATCACTGTAGCATGAAAATAAGCTGCTGTTTTCCATCCTAATAACATGATTTTACTCATAGTCCTTGAGCATCCGTAACAAGGAGCTGAACTTGTTGGCTAAATTTTTGAATGAATAACTTAATATCATCCTTTTGATTTTGAATGAACAACTCAGTATCATCCTTTTAAAAATAGATACTCTTTGCATTCAGATGAGTAATATAAATAACTACATTCAGTAAATTGAGATTCTTTGAGGGTTTCATTTTGTATTCTATTCGTTCAGGAGGCCCTTACATTGAAGGACAGCTTAAAATCTGGCATTTATATGAGATATACCAAGTAACTTTTACAACCAGGGGAGTCAACTAGTAACTTCAACTTTAAAAATACTACTGTTCTGAGTATTCTTTTTCTTTTATCTGCAGTACAGAACTAAGATTTCAGGGGAATCTTTGACCCATGGCAAGAGATTCATTAGCTAGCTGCTTGTTTCTAAAGCTAGAATAGCCAAACATTTAGGCAAAATGAAAGTCTGCATACCTGGTATCTAAAGCACATGGATCTCTTTTCAGTTAAATGAACAGAACATTCATATTTTAAATGATCATAAAATTACTATTTATTCTTTCACCAAATAGGTAATGAGCACCTAATTTATAAGATATGAAGTACACAGAAAATGTTAAGATGACTGAATAAGAAACTGACCCTTTATGAAAGCTTACAATTTAGTATGATAATAAGCATGTTTATAACTATAAATGAGAAAAGAAAATCTAAATTTTCATTCTATTAAGTTCCGTTTAAAACCCTATTTGAACGAGTTGAGAAACCAAGGAATAATTACTTTGATCTAAGCTCTGTATTTATATCTAGTTATGCCACTAGAAATATAGTCTGCATTAATATTGATTTCTGTAAAAACACCTTGACTGAGGGGCCCCTGGCTGTCTCAGTAGGTAGAGTATGTGACTTTTAATCTCAGGGTTGTGAGTTCAAGCCTCATGTTGGGTGTGGAGCCTACTTAAAATTTTAAAAAAATAAAATTAAAAAATAAAACATTTTTAAAAATTAACTTTTTAAAAAGCACTTTGACTTAATTATGATTTTTATGTTGCCATGCAAGTGCAGTATTTGTTTTAAGGATCATATTGATTTGTTACAAAACATAACCTGAATAAAACACTCTCAGAAAACATTTCTTTCCCCAAAGCAAGCCAAAATCAACTTTGTTTAGTATGTTACAAACTTTGCACACTTGTTCATCTGAAAGTTCCATTGGCATGGTTCCATTTGGTTGTAAAGAGACTAGTTTGTCCCATTTCAAAAAAAAGAGCAGCCTGTATTACCTGCAAATAATAGAATTTAGTGTTTTAAAGCCTTCAACTCTAACCATAAAGTATCATTCCAGTGACTACTATTACTGTAAAATTTCAGAGGAAGATGGTATCTTATATTACCTTACATAGGAATCCGTCTTGTATATTCCTCTTTGATTTAGTTGCTTAAGACGATTTTGTTTTACCTCCCAAACTAAACTTTTTTAGTTAATGATTCCCATGTAATTAATCAGATTTTCATTTTGACTTGGCTACCAAAAAGTTTAGAACTCTTGTTAATACTTATATGAAGCAATAACTAGGTTTCTTTTTTTTTTGTTTTTGTATATTTTTTATTGGAGTTCAATTTGCCAACATATAGCATAACACCCAGTGCTCATCCCGTCAAGTGCTCCCCCTCAGTGCCCGTCACCCAGTCACCCCATCCCCCCGCCCACCTCCCCTCCTACTACCCCCTACTACTCCAGAGTTAGGAGTCTCCCATGTCCTGTCTCCCTCTCTGGTATCTCCCACTCATTTTCTCTCTTTCCCCTTTAATCCCTTTCACTATTTTTTGTATTCCCCAAATGAATGAGACCATACAATGTTTTTCCTTCTCTTATTGACTTACTTCACTCAGCATAATACCCTCCAGTTCTGGGATCCCTGGGTGGCTCAGCGGTTTAGTGCCTGCCTTTGGCCCAGGGCGTGATCCTGGAGTCCCAGGATCGAGTCCTGCATGGGGCTCCCTGCATGGAGCCTGCTTCTCCCTCTGCCTGTGTCTCTGCCTCTCTCTCTCTCTGTATCTCTCATGAATAAATAAAATCTTTACCAAAAAAAAAAAAAAAAATACCCTCCAGTTCTATCCACATTGAAGCAAATGGTAGGTATTCATTGTTTCTAATGGCTGAGTAATATTCCATTGTATATATAGACCACTTCTTCTTCATCCATTCATCTTTCGATGGACACCGAGGCTCCTTCCACAGTTTGGCTCCTTCCACAGTGTGGACATTGCTGCTATAAACACTGGGGTGCAGGTGTCCTGCCATTTCACTGCATCTGTATCTTTTGGGTAAATCCCCAGAAGTGCAATTGCTGGGTCGTAGGGTATTTCTACTAATAACTAGGTTTCCGATTTGACTGTCACTTTCTTTTTAGTTATATGGTTTTTGATATTTTGATATATGCACCTTTTATTATAAGTAACATCAAATTATTCTGGAACTATGTACAGATAACACAAATAATTAAATCCTTTCAAATATGTGTGTTAGTCATCAGAATTCATTTACTACTCATTTTTTGCAGAAAGAATGTTGTGTTCTGTTTGGTTGGGGCACTTAGTCCTATTTTGTCTCCTTCATTTACACTTTTTTTTTTCATTTACACTTTTAAAGATCTTTCTTATTCTTCTAATCCATGTATATTGTTAGTTCTTCCATGAATCATACCTTCTACATGTAATCATACCCACCCATGTTGGTATTACACGTTTGATATACCAATTTATTTTTTGTAGTATATGTTTGGGCAGCTTTTTAGCGTTTTATTTGGTTGTGTCTTCTGATGTTGTTCCTCAAAATTAAGGGTTTTTTTACTATACTGTAAATTATTATGGATTCTTTATATGCTGTAACTCTTCAATTCTTTAAGCTCTAGGGAAATATTTATGATGTTACTGTGTTTTTTTGTGCCCTGGAGTCAATCAGTATTAATGGCTGGACAGTAAAATTTACTTAATTTGGTGGTACTTATGTGGAATTGCTTTTGTATGATTTTGGTTCTAAAAAATTTGATACAGAAGTAAGACATAGTGGATACAGTACAAGATAGTTGTTACAGAATTACCAGAAATTTTAAAATCTTCTAATAGCTTTTCCACCATTCTTGTTGGATTCTAACCATCACTGTAAAACTCAGTGACAAGGGTTCTCAAAGCTGGTAAATGTATGAGAGGGTCAATATGTGAGAGGATAAGGGGTGTGACTTTGTTTAAGTTATAAAAGTATTCATCCATGTGTTTATGCTTAACACTGACATTTCTTTGACTTTTTTCCCCCTCAGAGGTGACATTGTGATTGCAAAAAGCCCGAGTGATCCAAAATCAAACATTTGTAAAAGAGTAATTGGTTTGGAAGGAGACAAAATCCTCACCAGTAGTCCATCAGATTTCTTTAAAAGCCATAATTATGTAAGTAACATTTTAATTATTATTCAGTGATCAACATCAACTGAACACACTGACAAAAGAAAATAACTGCAATTCACATCTTGAATATAAGTTAATATGCTGCATTCAGTAGAATTTAAGTATGTATCGAGAACAGTTTGGCTGTTATATTTTATATATTTTAGTTTCTTTTAAACCTCTATATAACTATCTCAATAATAATTGTTGCAGGCAAGATTCACCAGTGGATGTCAAAATATTGGTCAAAGTTTAAGAAAAGTTTATTTGCACAGTTTCAAAGTATCTGAGATATTTATTACAAAGGGACAAATAGTAGTTTGTAGAAGAAAAACTGGCAGACACCACCTTAATTGAGTGATCGAGGTTGGTTTCACCAATAAAAAGACATATCAACACAAGGTAGCCCCTGAAATGAAGCACTGGGAATGGTATTGCTACTTTTGTGGCATTTCTACAAAAGTAAATGAAACCTCAGTCTAATCATGAGAAAACATCAGAAAAATCCTAAGTGTCATCCTGCAACATAGCTGACTAATACTCTTCAAAAATGTCAAGATTATGATAAATAAGGAAAGATAAAAATTGTCAAAGATTGGAGAAGACAAAGGAGACGTGCCAGCTAAATGCCAATGGGATCCTGGCTTAGAAAATTTTTCCGCTGACTTGTTAGTGGCAAATATGGTAGAATCAAAGTCTATAGTTTATTTTTTTTAAATCCTACTCTAATTTTTAGGATAGAAATTATACCTTGGTCTAGTCAACTTGACTGTCCAGTTAGAAAAAGAGAGCAAGAGCGGCAGGATGGAGGAGTGAAGAGCAGACGTAATGTTAGCTTCTCTCACCAGTCACACAGCTGCCGTGACCCGGGAGGGTGGCTTTTTGTTTACTGTGTATATTTGTCTTACTTTAATAATTTTATATCTTATTTTTTTACTTTTCTTTAAATTTTATGTCACTCAAATTATTGATGTAGCTGTTACATCTATTAACTAACTTTATCTTCATCCCCAACATAAGCAAATAATTAAGACTCTCAACATTTCATGAGACATTCTAGTCACTTTTAAGTTATTTTAGTAACAAGCATATGCTTGATACCAGAAATAATTTTGTCAATAGATAGAATAACAAAACATATAAATGATATAGCATCTACTATCTGTGTACTTAAACACCACACAATTCTTGTTTTCTTTTTAAGAGTTATTAGAAGAAGAATATCAGGGGATTAGATATTTGCTAAGTAATCTGATAAGACAAAGGACTATAAGATGTAAATTTTTTTGAATATTCTGTTTTTAAGGAAAATATTCATCTAGTTTTTATGTTCAGTGAGTAGATAAATTAAAAGACACTGCCATATTGTTCTAGATATATTCCGTTCACTTGGGTTTACATGTTTACAAGTGACTGACATAATTGTAATACTATTGGCCAACACTTACATGCTTCATCGGTACCAGATACTGTTGAAACTCTTCACAAAGGTTAATTTATTTATCATCATCACAACAGCAGTCCACTAAGATACGTAGTAATAGTAGTATTTGACAGATGGGAAAACTGGACAACAGGAAGGTTAAATAGACTGTCCAGCTTCAAACAGTTAGTGAGAAAAAAGTTAGAATTCAAACACAAGTGACCTGGCTCCATCCAGAATTTGTACTCTTTACCATGCTACTACTACCTCTCCCAAAATTTCCTCTACTCGATTATTATTATTATTTATGCTCCCATCTCATCAAATTGTACTTCCCTTAAAATATATTTGTTTTCATTATTTTTTAAAAAGAAAAGGAACTATTTCTGATCAGGGACAGTATTGGTCCTAAAAGAAAAGCCAGTGATTTTTTGAAGGCTTTTCTGCCTCCACCAGTTTTTCTAGGCTGGGTTTTTGAGCAATAAGAATTGTGTAGTTATTACAGAACCACTTTAGCAAATGTGTTCCATTAATCAAGGTGATTTATAACAAAAATTCATCCAAGTTTGGAGCATTCTGAAGAGATATCCAAACCTTTGCAGGGTCTCCCCCTCTAGAGGGTTCCCTTTTTCAGCTATCTCTGAAGCACACTGGTGCTTTCATATATTTTATGAAATAGGTTTCTTTCCCTTACCTATGTATCCTTTTAGAAAAATCGTTGTTTATGATGAAGACATTACTATTCAGATCTTGATTGAGTTGCTTGGTAAAGATGATGAATATTAAATGTGTTTTGAATTCCAGGTCCTCCTCCCGCTCCTAAAAAAAATTTTTCTCCTAAGTAGGTGCTTCAGAAAGCAAAACACCAAAATTGTCATTTGGAACTTAGAACATAGAATTTAGCATATGAAAGAAATAGCATTGTTCCTAAGTTGGCAAAAAAGAATATAAACCGATCATTGGTTAAGTGATGTGGAACCATTTTATTCATTCTGGAGTTCTAAAAGTCCATGTGGCAGCAACACTTAAAAACCATGATTTATTTTTTACATTAAGCTTTTGGAAACTAAGCAGTCCTTATCAGGTGCTATTGCAATAGGTTTTGCTCGTTTCAATGGTATTGAGGCCAATAATTCTTACCTTGGGTTATGGGCTAAGTATTGGCTACTAGGATATGAGCTTAATTTGTGACTTTCAAAAGAAACATATTATACTCAGCTCAAACATCTTGAATAACTTGCCTTTCTATACTGTAAGAATTCCTCAGTTTTAAATTAAAAGCCATTAATTTGCCAAAAATAATTTAGTTGGAAGCAGAAACATTTAGCAAATAGGAAATACATAAAATGGTCATTATCCTGTCGATTTGCACAGTAGCAAAGTGCAGTATAAAAGCCTGTATAATGTAGTTTCCATTTTCCTAGGGAAAATAGGCCCAGGGCTCAGGAAACATAGTGAAATTTTGCTATAAAGTTCATGAAAAGATGAAGAGAACAGTTGATAATTTTCCTGAAGGTAATACTGTGCGATAGTTCAGGGCTATGACTTTAATCCATAGTGTCACTAGGGTAGTACAGTTTAGGCGTTTTGCAATATAGTAAGTTCCTGTCAGCGAAGAAAGGTGCTATAAAACTTCCCATTTAAATAAACAAACTCCTTTGACACCACATCTTCCTATAGGAAAGAATTGTGTCTGCTTACTGACCCTGTCCTGAACTTCACATTCTTTCTTGAGTTCATCTCTGTTAGGTTTTGACTTCACTGAAACCCTTCTTGTCGGGTACCCACTGTTCCTATCCAGCAGTCAACTTCAGTCCTCATATTACTTGATCTGTTGTTAGTATTTGAAATATTTGTTCTCAAAACCTAGTTTCACTTAGTTTTGGGGACTGCACACTCTGGGTTTTCTGCCTATTTTTTTGTTTCTTCTAAGATTCCTTTGTTGGTTCCTCTCAACATTAGAGTAACTAAGGGTTCATATTTTAAACTTCTCTCATTCATATACATTGACACATTAGGTGGCCTCATCCTGTCTCATGGTTTTAAATACTACCTAACTCCCAAAATTATGTCAGCCACAACCTGTTTCCCGAACTCCAGAATCCTATATCTAATAGTCTGCCTACTATCTCCACCATAGTACATAACAGGCACTTCCAACTTAATATGTCCAAAACCGAACTCCTGATCTTTCTCAAACTGGCTCCTCCCACACATATCCCCACTGCAGCAACAGCAACTCCATTCTTCTGCTTGCTCAGGTTATAAATCTTGGGAGTCCTTCTTGCCTTTTTTCTTCTTGCACTGTGCATCTAATCCATTAGCAAATCATGGTGACCGTATCTTTTAAATACAATCAGAATTAGATCACATCTTTCCACCATCACTGCAACCGTTGCGGTGCAAGACAAATTCATATCTTTTTTTCTTGAAATAACTTCTGAACTGCTCTCTTGTACTATTCCCATTTTCTTATATTTTTCTTTTTTAAAAACTATATATATAGGTTAATTATAACATCATTATTGTTAGTGGCAGGGATGGAAGCAATAGAAGCAATTTTACATTTCAGAAAGAACTGTTTAAATGTTCTCAGGATATATTGGTGGTACAGTGTTTTTAAAAGGAGAAGTTGTAAATGGGGCAATTTGCCAGTGATAAAGGTGTTTCAGTTTTTGAAAAACTGATTAGCAAACTGAAAAACTCACTAATTGGACAGCATTAGAAAATGGTCAGTGCATATAGTAACACTAATAGTCCCTTAATGTGTACTGTGTATTTAGGTTATAGTTCGAATCCTTGAATATCCTAATGCTGTTTTTCTGTTTGTTTAAATGTCATTTACTTTAGCTAAAAGTCACAACCATATGGTCTTCTATTACCACTTGAATTATAAACACAAAAAGTACTTATGTGTAGGGAAAGGAGTCATCAGATTGAAAGGGCTTGTTTATTATAAGCTGCTGATACACTAAATCCTATGTCATTTAAATAGAAGAACTACCTAATAATGTCACTCATTACAACTAGGATATCTAAACAAGGGACTTGCTTTTTGCAGACTGTAGTGATAAAAACCTGTGCTACACATCCATTTCTCAGCAACGGGTCCCAGGATAATCAATCATGGCATACTGCTAATGCCTTGATTGCAGCTGATGTGGAGGAAATATGTTTACTTTTTTGCTAAAGTGAGGTTCACTGCGGAGATGACGTGACTTTTTCATCCTATAGCTAACACAATTGTGAAGATAAATTTGACTTATTGTTTATGATTCTGAGGTGTTTTTCTTCTGATATTTAACATTAAATAATCATCCTTGAGGCCTCCACAACTTAAGAATTTTCTGATGTGTTCTCTGAACATTTTCAGAATAATTTAATCTTTTTTTTTGAAAGATTTTATTTATTTATCCATGAGAGACAGAGAGAGACATAGACATAGACAGAGGGCGAAGCAAGCTCCCTCCAAGGAGCCTGATGTGGGACTTGATCCCAGGACACTGGGATCACAACCTGAGCCAAAGCAGATGCTCAACCACTGAGCCACCCAGCTGCTCCTTTAATCATATTTTAACAA